ACAATCACTAAATTTAGTCTGCCAAACACATATATTCTATTTCATTTTTTTCCAACTGTAACAAACATATAAAGTACACATAATAATGTTGTTTGCATTGTATACATCTAATTTCAGGTGGTCATTTGGAATTCTTTTGTGGGAAATCTTTACTCTTGGTGAGTATAGAAATTTAACTCTCAACTAGTTTTTTCAACTAAAATTACTCCTGTTTAATCTTTTCAGTTTTAAGGTTTCTGATAAAATACTGACTTGTCAATACTTATTATAATTATTATTATTACTTTGGTGAAAAGATTGCCCGGCATCAGTTTGTTAGTTTCCCTTTACATATATACTTTTGAGGTGTACAGTGTACAGTGTACAGTGGGACTCCAAAATGGTTACTTTACCCTACAAGTATACTTTAAAAGTTGCACTCTCTTGTCTAAACCCATTTAAATTGTTACCTTGTCAAAAAACCCAAGGTGGCAGGTGCTATCTATTATACGTACATAATCTACAGTTTAAGCATCTGACTAGTCAGTTATAAAACTGTAAGGATATAGGTGGTCCCATGTGAACACTCAGTGCACAAGCACTTTTAATTACTAGCAAGTATTTAAAATATATGATTGTTGACAAAATGGTGTATTTTCTTGCTTTATTGAACAAGGTGGTACACCATACCCTGGAATTCCTGTTGAAAGGTTGTTCACTCTACTCAAGAATGGATACCGTATGGAATGTCCCATAAACTGCCCTCCAAATATGTGAGCATTATTGGCAAAGGTTTAATGTATTTGCATTTCAAGCTAAGGCCTTAAAAAAAAGGCCAATTACCTTAGCAGAGACTCATAATTAAGATTAATTGGTAATACATAGGAACGTAGTTCGCACCTTAAGTTGCAAGTTAGTATTTTAACAAAGGAAGATTTGAACTATTAATATGGTTACAAAGAGGAGGTGTTGAACATTTTTTTTGAAATGAAGTTTCTGCGCCTAGTAATAAGTAGTTAAAATTACTGAGCCTTTCAAAAACATGAGAACTTTGAAGTTCAAAAGGCAACTGACATTTGCATTTTTTGCTGCCAACAATCATCTTGGCGGATCTCTTAGGCAACAGAACTTTACTTAAACTGGTTCAAACAGTCATGGTTTGTGATCTGTGATTGGTGGATCTCCATCCATTTTGTGTGTTTTTGTGTTTCAAGGTTCATTGCTTGTGATCATAATTATTATAATTGACATCAGCAAAAAAAGCAATTGTGAAGGCGGCTTTTGAACTTTAGAGTTCACATGTTTTTGAAAAAACATAATTTTGTAAGACATAAATTCAATAGATTTACAGAAAGGTAAATAAAATCTCATGGACTGATTATAATTCATTTATTTTTATCTCTTGAATTTCTTTTTTAGCTACGAGACAATGCTCCAATGTTGGAGTGAACACGCCAAAAGTCGGCCATCATTTGCTGAGTTATATGAAAAGCTAGATGGATTCCTCTCAGCAGAAACAGCTTTGGTAATTTATTTCAACTCATTGGTTAATTTTAAAAATAGATTACACAAGCCATAGTTAATTGAGTGGAATGGTTATGAAACCTGTCAGACTCCTTTGTTATATGTTTTTGTGGACCTGAAAGTGCAAAATGTTCAAAAGAATTCCTATTATTTTGATTGTATTGACCAATAAAAACGTTGCATTAATTTATTCCGTAACAATTTGCCAACAGAAAACAAAGGATTGTGCACTTTCACGGTACTTCCAACATAAACTGCAGCACTGTTGTTCTTATCATTGATGTTTGCAGCTTTTCATAACCAGTCTCCTCTAATAACTATGCACAAGCAAATACAAGATTGCAATACACAGTCATTATGTACTCAGCCAATACGCTTTATTATTCCAATGGATTGTTTAGGGAAGGTGTACTGCAGACTGATCCCAAAGGTGAAATGATAAAAAAGTGAACAAAATGTAGTTAAAAAGGGTTAAATAAAATATTCAAATTTAACTCGTTTACGGAAGGGAGTGTTTTGGGCCGACTGTAAAAATTGTTACAAGCAATATTAATTCTTGCCTTATCTGCCTTGGCAGTTGTTTTGAATGCCAGGTCTCATGGCACAGGACAGAATACATGTCACCATGGTAAAGATAAATATTAAACAGGACCAGAAGTGTGCTCCTAGCCCTAACCCTTACCTAAACGTTGTTTTAGTCCATGAGGAAACCATTAGTATTAGTTAACTATCAATAAAACGGTGACATCTAATCAATGAGCTGCGGAAAAAATGTGACCTGTAAAAGAAACCTGTCCCATTTGCTGAAGTTAATGAGATATAAAATAAAATTTTGGATAAAAATTGGAAGCTGCATTGGCAAATTACCAAAATTGCCAATCTGCTTTAACAATTATATTTAATAATTTATTAACTTACTAAATCAAGTTATTTCAGTGCAACAAATTACGAAGAAAATAGAACAATGGTCACAAGTTATCTGATCTTTGATTTTAGGGATGTAGTGAAGGACAGGCCTTCTATTAGTCAAGACCCTGACTTTTAAACTTAACTGCACCTTCAAAATTTCCCCAAGGTTTTGTTTTCCCAAGTAATGTGAGCTGGCAATAGGGTCATTTTCAGCTGGTGAAATTAGCTGGCAGCCCACTCTTAGATATATTTCTGCGATTTGAACACCAGTGATTGTAAGTTATATTTTTAGCAGATACAGCGTCTAATTCCTAACTTTTTTTTTTCTTAGGAGTATGTTGCAGTATTGGCACAGTCAGTTGATTGCTTGGCAGAAACGGATACAACTGAACCTCAACAAACACCTGACAGATCTTTTCCAAAAACTTCCACTAACAAAATCAATACAGTAGTCTAAACAATAAATTGCATTACATTCAGCACAATAATTTATTATACATTTTATTCACTATATGTCTTCTCATATTGGCTAAGAGCCCATCAGTCGACTGTATAGTCTACAATGCATAACCTATAGATTACTTAGTTTAGTGACTAATATTTGTGTTGTGCACGCAATGCATAATTTCCAAGAGCAATGTCAAACTATGTTTCATGTAATGCTGTTCTTGTCCTTCAGCACTTTCCTTGACCTTCATTATTCCAGGTATCACAAAAACCTCAACCAATTATTGTTTATTATTGTGCAAAAAAAATATAGGAGCTGTGTGCTCCCTTATGTAATCTGCTTCCCCAGAGGGTATGGTTTTTGCACCATTTTGGTCTGAAAATGGATATATAGACTTTGCCCATATTGGTCTGGAATCAGGTATGGTTTTTGAGGTAATTAAATGAATGTATTTATCATTTTAATTCTATATGAATAAGCAAGAAAGAGAAATATGCAAATTTGAAATGGATTTTAAGAAATCCCTTTTGTTGGCACAGGGCTGTCAACCGCCCACATCTTCAAAAATTGAGAATTAAGTTTACAGGGAAGGGATAACAGATGACGTCATAATGTACAAAATACATGTATGATGTCATTTGGAGAAAAAAAACATGAAAAAGATGTTGGAATTGTAACATTTGTACCTGATTGGCTTAGTTCCCATCAATCACATTAGTGCCTATATTACAATGGCATACCAGGGAGCTCAAACAATGCAAAATATTTGAAATTTCATTGACAGAAAGTCAAATCTTAAAGAAATTGCAAACTTTGGCAATTATCTGGGAGATTTCAGACTCTAATCTGGAGACCAGGCGAAATGGCTCAAAATTGGGAGTCTCCGGATTATCCCAGAGAGTTGACAGCACTGTTGGTGTTGTAGTCTAAGTAATGATGATATGAAAACGGATGTGAAAAATGACATTTGTTGGTCCAAAATAGGATCAGGATTTGTAGAACCAGGTGGTACATCCCCACCAAGAATTCCCAGGAGTATCCCCCTGGGTCTTGTAGTAAGTACAACTAACTGTTTCCAAAGAGAGCTAACTCTTTGTTGAATCATACAATGGGAGACAACTGTCACTTTGACGTGTTGCTTCAAGCATGAGACCAACTACCATAAAATTCTGAAAATAAGCCCCAGGGCTTATATTTTTCAAAGGCCCTGTTTGAGGGGCTTATCTACAGAAAGAAATTTGCATTTCAAAACCGATTGGGCTAGCCTTATAGTTGGAAGTAAATTTACCATTTTTGCTTTGTTTTACTTTGTATTTGAAGGGAATTTTTCAAATACAAGCCCTCTAGGGACTTATTTTTGGAGGGACGATTTAACGGAGGGTTTTTTTGTGTTACCTGTTGGGGGGCTTATATTTGGAGGGGCTTATTTTCGGAATTTTACGGTATTGTGATGGCCAGTAGGTCGACCTATAACCGCGTCCCCTCCCTGAAAACACTTTTTATGGTGAGAGGTTATTTATATTTTATAATGTTTTAATAATTAGACATAACAGCTTTTTGTTCAAATGAACGTTATTTAAATGCTGTTATCGTAAAATAAAATTATTCTATAGCTGATCGTGAATTTAAAATCTTTATGGCCGTTCAGATTACCTTAACGTAAGACTTCGTTTTGTATTATAATTCATATATAAAATTTCTCACAACTTGTATAGAAAAAACCTTGTACATACCAGATAAAAACTAAATTAAAATCCTGCTGTTTTAACAAAATTGTGGTTAAGATTAAAGAATGTATACACATATGCAGACTTGGAAAAATATTAAAAGACAACTTACTTGCAGCTCTAAGTTGTTTTAGAGTTCGCCAGTCAGCTTGGCTCAGGTCAGCCATAGCGTCATTTAGCAGCAGCCATTTTGATGTTGACGACCTCCTCAAAGTTGCTCGGAACTTCTCCGGAATATTTTCGGACCCCACAACTCGAGACTTTGCTAGATGCCCGTATGTTTAAATCGAGGACGTGACTTTTTTTTTCGAATTCCCACGGAATTTCCACGTAATACACTCTGTTCGCCCCCGCCCGCACAAATAGCCTTTATTTTGCTTAGACTGATGTTCAAATGCCATTGGGTGGACAGCATTTGAAAACGGAAAATAGTGAAGTTACGCAAACTGGGAGAGCAGAGGAGACGACAAACCTAGTGTGACAAGCGTGACAATAATTTTGTCTGAGAAAACTTTCGGCCCAAATTCACCTTCCTTTAAACAGATCTTTTTGTAAAAGACCAGAAAAACGTTAATGTGAAGATCACGACAAAACACGCATTAAAATAGCCCTGTCACGTTTGTGACACACAAGCGTTTTGCCGTCCTCTTCTTTCTGCCGTCCTGTTGCGTTAACTCACTATTATATCACTTACAAGGCAAAACGTGATCTAGACAGGGGCCCAACGTCAATTTTCGGAAGATGATTTGAGATCTAGAATTTTCGAAACATTTGTAGCTGGGGATAACACGGCCCACCCATTTTTTAAGGGAAAAGCGCTGGGGACGAGGTTGGGCAGTGATGAAGGTCTCTGGAGAATTTGCCGCTTATATCTCGTCATATACACTTGAATGGGAGTAAATTTGAAGAAAGAAACAATTCTCAAGGGTATCATCACATAAACTTCATTGGGAAAACAAAAAATACAAGCTAAAGAGGTCTACAGTCAACTCTCTCTTACCGGACACCTCATATAAGACGGATACCTCTCTAGGACGGACGCCCGGTGTTGGTCCCTACAGTCAGTCATTTTCACGTAACTATACACTCTATAAGACGGACACCCCTCCAAGACGGACAACGGACACTTGAGAATTGTTTTATGCAGTAAAAGATACCTCAAAACGGAAATGTAGGTGCTCTAAATGACAGTAAATTGCAAAATTCTTAATATTTGGCTTTCTCCGGTTCGCAGAGTGTGGGGGTGGGGGATTGGTTATCCAGACCTTTAGATTAGAAGGGGGCCTATGCCGCTATCTACTAACCTAATTAAGACCTGTTTTTCATGAATGCCGTGCCGGACAGTACTTAATTAAAAAAATCAGAAATTCAGATGAGCCAATTGACCTTAAAAATTAGCCTCTCTAAGACAGACAATCGGAGCCGGTCCCGAAGGTGTCCGTCTTTGAGAGAGATGACTATATTGCAATGTGTAGGTCAGCCAACCTCGTCCCCAGGGCGCTTTTCCCTGGCAGCGGCTCGCTACCCGAGAGGTAGCTTAAGGTGTTGGTAACACACAAGTAGACCCCTTATCGTTCACCGCTCTTTTTAGGCTTCCGGTCCAAAAAGACACCCTGATTAAGACACTAAATAGTAAAATCGTGTACATGTACCCCTTTTAGAACTCAAGACCCCGTTCAGCGACTGCCTCTTCGAGGGTGCTCCTTATTTAACTAATTAGCAAAACCCGAGACTTCTTGTTCAAGAGAACATGAGCCATAATGGTTCTTAAGAGAACATATTGACTTCAAAGCAACTTTACATCGGAAATCTGGGAAATCCAAGTTAGTGACGTGTAAAGAAAGGATAAAATTTTCAACTTTAAATATGCTTCAGGAACATTTAGGTGTAATGAAAAAAATAGCCTAGAAGTATACGTAGCAGACAGTTAGGACGTTCATGGGCAAATCAGTTTGGGTCTCTGGGTGTCGCAGTTGTTCTGTCCGGTGATATCTTGTAGTGTCCCAAACCGCAAACCGTTTTGTTTCGTAAAACTGCAATACCGCAAATAACAATAAAAATAAAATAAAAATTTCCGCAAAACCGCACCAAAAATCGAGCAAAACCGCGTCACCGCAAACCATTACGCGCACGCATTAACGCTGGTAACGTCCCACTCAATTTGGGATAACTTGAGGTCGAATGATAAAAACAAAACCTTGTTGCTGTAGTTCACCCCTATTATCTTCAACTTTTATTGCTACATTGCTACTTCAGCTCTAGCCTGCGTAGCTGGCGGTTTGTGTGGGTGCTCGACTATATTACAACGGCTCCGCCCCCAAATCTCACTCGACTACTACACAATACCGCCAGCTACGCAGGCTACTTAGTACTTCAGCCCTGTTGCATACCCGTTGTGAGAGTTTTCCTCCCCCCACCCCGACCGTTACCCCTACCGACATCCCTACCCTGTTCCAGGCTCCGGTGTTGGACCGTTTCGGCCTGGCATCGAGCCTTGTGATTGGTTAAAATCTGGTAATGAAAGTTGCCGTACCGTTTAGCGGAAAAAGCTGAAAAGCTGCCAGCTATTGCTGCAGACAGCTGTGCAGAGCTGCAAAAAGGATCTACACATCTTCTTACACAGTTCGACGCTGCAGATTGGAACGTTTAGAAACAAATAGCAAGTAAGCTTGTTAGATCTGTGTAATTAATGCATGACTAAATTGTTTTGCAGGCAGCAGGCTGGAAAGCATGTTGATGTCGCGCTTGGGAACTCGAGTCAGCGGTTTATTCTTAATTTAGCTATCGATTTACGCAGCTTTGCCTGTTGAAAGTCTGAAAATCGCAAAAGTGCTAATGTTTGGCAATGGTGGAAGCGAACTCGTCCATTGAGAAAGTTGTTTCCAATGTTTGTGAACTTTGAACAGAGTCGAAGAGTTAAATTATTCACGAGTTCAAACTTGCGTGAGAAAGTGAGAAAACTGCTTTGTTTATGAATCCGCAGTACTATTGTGCTAGTTGACCAATCACGTCCTTGTTTTGGTTTAGATTGATCAACCATTACACTGGTTAAGCATCCTCTTTGTTCACCAACTACATGTAAAATTCGTGTCAATTTAATCGTCCTTTGTGGATTATTTCTAATAAGAAGCGAAGTCTTTTAAGCAGCCTGTTGTTCTAATGGAGGAAGTGAAAACTCTAACCACTAATGGAGGTGATTTTGTAAAGGTAAGACTACAAAGATTCAACGTTTTTCGCGTCTACAGCTTCATTCATTCAAAGCGATGGCTCAATTTATAGTCTTGAATCGACTATCTTTTAGGTAGTCTTTATGGATTTACTATAACAAACGTATCTTAAACAGAAAGAAACATCGAGTTTTGAGGCCATTTTAAGCATTTCTTACTTGTGAACAAGTTATTCCTTCGCGTCCGTCCATTGTAGCTTGTTATCATAGTTATGCTGCAGCTTACTAAAGCTTACATTGTCTTGCAGCCTCCTAGAAGGAAAGCAGTCACTGAAAACTAGAAAGCTTGTATGGTTTTCAATGATAACTTCCATAAGTAAAGTGGGTGTTTGTTTGAAAATAAAACCTACCCACCGTTGCATAACACATGTTTGTCTGGAGATGTAAAACGGCTTCTTTTGGTGCCATCATACTTTCTGTAATGTTTGTTGTTGGAGATCGCTTAACTTTTTAGGTCTTGGGTAAGAGTACTGTGGAATCCTGTGTTTCTCCTGTTTTGGATGTTTGCTGTCACAAGATTTGCCAACAGCTGAATTCTCAAAACCTTGGACGGTAGTTTCTTGAAACATACAATCACTTACAGTAACTAAACTGACCACTTTTGTCCAGTCAAACACATGAGTGAAGTGTTGTTAAATTAGCCTGGAATCTTTGAACCTCAAAGATAATTAATTTTATAATTAGAATCAATTTCCTTTTCCTTTGATTTCTGAAAATTAGAATTTTGCTGTAATTTCAAGATCAGACCGAAATAATGAGAATAGTGAGACCCTTTGTAGGTTTTCAGCTTTCACATGGACCAAGTTAGCAAAAAATCCATTTTGACGCCAACTGCAAGCATTATGTATTGTAGGTACATCTGCAGTGCAGGCTAGTCCTTGTCAAAAGTTGGGAAAAAATGAAAGGTTCCTTTTTCGGTGCTTTTGTTTTCAACAACTTTGCAGCTATAGTAAGTTAATAAAAGCCTTTTAGTATTTACCAAATTTTGATTGGCTGCCATAACTCGGAAGATCCTTGGCTAATCACTGTTTTACAACCAGAGCCAAGATGGTGTCTCATTTCAAAAAAATTTTTGAAAGGCAACATTTGAGCGATAAATGAAGAAGTCATACGGACAAATACCAAGAAAGTGACTAACTTTGGCTTGTCGGTGTTTACTGGTTGGTAGAAAATGATTTTCATGCTGAATCTGCAACAAAATCGTAAAAAATGCACTTGGCAATATCCCTGAAATGTTTGTAAATTGTAAACATAGTTCCTACTAAGGGATGTTTTTAAGTCACAAAAAGTTATTTTTTTGTTTTTATTCAATTGATTTGGTAAATACTAAAACAACTATCTCCCTCAGGGTCAGTGAACAGTGCTAGATACGTGTATACCTCGACGCTTTGCGTCTCGGTATGCACCTATTGCAATGAAGGTTTTACAAACAAATTAAAGTTGGTAATGAAAGGTAATGAACTTGAACTCTGGATAGCTTCTTTAACAACATGCAACTTTATCACAGTACAGAGTAACTGTTGAATGTTGATCGTTGACAAACATTGCGCATTTTTTACAACCTCTATCAAGCGGACACCCTTTATTAAGCTGACACTTGGGAAGGTCCCGAAGGTGTCCGAGGTTTCACTGTATTATAATCCTCATTAGATTTTAGCATGAACTTAGTTGCCCTCCTCTGAATTGCCTCTAACCTATTAATATTGCGTTGTGTGTGGGGATTTCAGGTCTCACACGAGTATTCCAGCAAAGGTCTAACAAGACTGCAGTGGTAGTAATATCCTTAAAGTCCTTACACGTTCTTTTCACCAAACCAAGAACCCCATTAGCCCTAGCAGTTATAGAGTCTTTTATTAGAATTCCATGATAAATTAGAGCTAGTAAGCAAACCTAGGTCCTTATATATATATGTATGCATCCAGACTTTGACCATTAATGTTTTAGTCCCTAACCAGAGGACTCTTTTTTCCAGTAATTCTCATAATTTTACATTTCTTAACATTGACCTTCATTTTACTCTCCTTGCACCAGTCAGAAATCTTATCAAGGTCATCCTGAAGGGATGCAATATCCTCAGGAGAGTTAATGGCCCTATATAATTTGCTATCATCAGCATATAAGGCAATTGAGCTATCCCCACTGATAACCCCTGCTAAATCATTAATATAAATTATAAAAAATAAGGAACCCAACAGGGAGCCCTGCAGCATGCCAGAAGTAACTGTTAGCCAGTCAGATACTTCCCCTTTTACAACGACTCTTCGCCGACTGTTAGTAAGATAGTCTCTACACCAGTCCAAAAGGCTACCACGAATTCCATACTTGTATTACTTATTCAAGAGTATGGAGTGACTTAGCAAAATCGATGAATACCACATCAACCTGACCACCATTATTGAGGGCCACAGACCAGTCATGGTGCACCAAGAGAAGCTGCATTGTACAGGATCTTAGGACTCCATGGTGGGAACTGTGAATGAACTCGATAACTTGTCCAAAAATTGCATCATATACTAATCTTTCTTGACACTTGCCTGTGATGGACAGCAGTAAGATACCTCTGTAATATTCAACTGGTTCTCGCTCACCGTCCTTATGAATGGGAGTAATGTGATCAATTCTCTATATTATATGTTACTTATGATAATATTAATGTACCAGAAAACTTTTGAGGTTTTTTGCTTTTATTTTGAAATGAATGTGGGTTCCTTGTTGGCTTTTTAAACACATCCATGATACACTATAGTCTAAAGTCTTAAAATATCAATTGATTAAAAAAATGTTTTCTGTTTGTAAAAGAAACCACTAATTAGTCATGTGAGGGCCACACATTCATGCATTTATTATGCCATGAGAGCCCCTCTTAAACCTTCCCCACTTTCTACACTCATCTGTATACAGGTCATTAATTCAACACCTTACAAGTATTCCATTAGCTCAATCTATATGTAGCTATAATTATTCTCTTTCTTCCTTGTCCTCCATGCAGTTGGGCCTATTTACACGGTGACCTTGTGTTCTGTTGCCTATAGAGGTTTTAAAAGGTGGCTAGTCAGGTGCACTGTAGGTCTTGGCATGTGCTTGATATCTCTTCTTGTCATGGGACTAGGTTGCAATATCATGTCCTTTTAATGACAGTTCTTTTTCTTAAGATGTATTATTTACATCTGTACAACTTATTTTTACAAACATAAATTATGTTAAAAAAATACATGTAAATTGAATAAGAATAGCTACATGTACATAACATTTAATTACAGGCTATGGTGATGAAATTATGCTTTGTTCTGACTATATTATTTTTTATTATTGATTGAAATTCAGGTTAAAATAAATTATTATTGTTTCAGCCTTGTTTTTAAATTCTCAGTTTCCTTTAATTCGAAGCAAAAACAAAGAACAAAAATTTTAAGGAAACTGAGAATCAAACATAGATTAAAACCATTTTAACCTGATTTTCATTTTGAGGTACAACTTTTACTTGACCCTTATTTTTAGATTTGAAAATTTATTTTATGACAATAGATATAATGGGAAAGGTTTGAAGCCAGGAGTCATTCAAGAGCAGGTTGAGTTTGATCATCCTGGTGAACATAGTCCTGAATAGGACTGTTGTTGTTGACAGTGACCGACGTTACTGATTACGAGTCTTCATAGCCAATAACAACACAGCTTAACTGAAGGATGACCAATAACATTGCGACGTAATTGACCAATCAGATCAATAACCGGAGTATAATACCATCAACTGACATGATACAACCCACTTTGACTCTGAAGATGACTACTGCACAGGTTGTCAAAACGTCAATCATTGTCAACAACGACAGTCCTATTCAGGACTATGTTCACCCGGACGATCAAACTCAACCTACTTTTGAATAGATATAATGAAAAACCGATAAAAATAATAATAATGACTTAACAATAATCTTGTTGCAATGCAGCATGCTTGAACTGACCTGATGATCTCCCAGCTTGCCTCCCCCATGCAGATATAGCCCTAGGCTGCTTCTAATTGTCATTCATGTTTTATAACAATAACTACCAACTCGACTTTTTGAGCCAAAAAAAGCATGATAGTATTTTTCTAGAGGACTCAAAGATTTTCAGAGATTTCTGACGACATTCTGAAGAGCTCTATAGTTCTCAAGATAATGATTATTAATTAAATAAAAATAATTCATTTCTAAAATGAAATGGGTCAGGCACGAGGATTGACATGGGACTCTTTTCTTGTATTGGTTCAAGTTTATTTTACTAATTTAAAAAATGCATCAGTTACAGGATACACGTGAAGTACATTTAGCACCTTAAATTTGTCTGCAAGGGGTTAGCAGGCGTGAGCTGCCAAGAGGTTTAAGTTTTTATTCGCTGGAGTGATACTTAAGTGTGAGAGTGAGCAGAATATTTAGCAATTATTGAATGTGGCTGAATAGGATATGAAGAATTCTGCAGATCGAGGAGGGTGTTATCCATCAAGGCCGAAGGCAGAGGTGGATAACACCCTCGGAGACGTCATTTTGACATTTTGACGTTATCGGTTCAATATGACAGTTCAGCCGCTGGTTATGGTGAATTATGTGTGTGGTTTTACCCAATCAGAAATGGGGAAATATTTTGGATGAATAATAATATTTATTACTGCACATGTTGGGATCTTAATATTAGGGTATCTTTTTTGTTTAGATATACACAGCTTGCACTTTTTTAGTTGTAACACTGTTTCTATTATCATGATTATTTAGGCTACCAAGGAGTCACTAGCCTTAAAAATGCCATACTCAACTCACCCATATGACTCGACCGCCAGCTATGGGGATGCTGCTGATGGGCCAAAGGCTTTCAAAAGAGACACTGCTAAAAGGTATAGTAGCTATGATGTTAAACTGTTAACTGAGCTAAACTGTTGAAAGTAGCAATAAGCCCTGACAGTATACATGTAGTGTAATTATCACAAAGTGGTGGGTGTTTTTTGGCAAAATGCCAGCGGCTGCTGACTGCTGAATGACTCGGGTGCCTTAAGTGATTCTCATGGGTAGGAATGAGTGAACAAGTTCCAGTCAGGTTCATTATACAGCTGGGCAAACTGAACTGGAACTTGATTCACTCACTGAGTCAGTTTCCTAGTTAACCTTAAGCACTGATTTTTAGATTAATAGTTACTTGATACTCTGCAAAATATTCCTGACATAGAAAAAGCACTTTTATAGATAAAGTATAATTTATACGGTAATTCAGGCTTGACCAGGATTGGAATCCAGATTCAAATCCCAGTCAAGTAAAGATCCAGAGATCAAGAAATGTTCAGGTTCTTTTTCATAGCAGTCATCTTTTATGCTTCCAATAACATGTTGTGTTTATGCGTATATTCACACATGTTTAAAAATAACATTATTAATGTTCCTCCTGTATTTTGTTTTAGAGTGTTTGTCAATAGAAGTCTTAGTCTGGATAAAATCAAATTCTTTGGCTTTGACATGGACTATACTTTAGCAGGTACAGTCACCAGGAGAAAACATTAATTATAATTCTCCCATTTGAGCCATGGACTTGGTCTGATGTTGCTTCTTTTGGAATTGCTTGTTGCAAAACTCTTAAGGCGTTGTCAACAATTCTGAACTCCTTTACATGTACGTGTATTAATTATAAACAATAACAAAATAATGCCAAAGTTGCACTCTATTAAAATTCTGAAGCTTTATTACATGATCGTACATATAATGGGCTTACATGTAGGTCACAGTCGATCCCCAAGCATATGGTTAACCTTTTTTGGGTGTGGTTCTTTTGGTGTCATGACCTTCTAAGTTAGATACAAACATTATGGCCCATTCTGCATTTAAGACAACTGACTGTAATTTTTGTGTTGCAGTGTATAAATCCCCAGTCTATGAAAAGAAAGCCTTTGATTTGGTCTGTGAAAGACTAGCTTCAATTGGCTACCCTCAGGTGAGTTATATTTATTGCTTAATGTTCACTGTAGAGTACAGTGCTTGTTACAGGATCACGCATGTGCAGTGTACAGCCTGCACTATGAGCAATTGAGCTGGTTCATAGCGAAACTCCTGCTCCCAATGATTGTAGCCCAACTACTTTTGTAATTCCCTGCTTTCTAGACTATGTCATTTTCAACATTCTTCCTTTAACACTACCATGCCTGAATATGAGAAGTCAACACCTCACATACATATATACATGTAATACAGCACAATAATTAGAGATACCTGTACTACGCTCTTCTACAGTTGTAATATGTTAAACTCAAGTGGTGAGATTGTGTGACATCTATGGTGTACATGTCTAAGGATGATGATGATGGTGATGATGACAATGATGATGAATGTATACAACACTCTCTGTGAACCGATATCACTGTAAATAAGTATTTTAGATGACTTATTGTTGGAATGCAAATCCAAAGCTTCAGTCCACATCTTTTTTGTCACCAGCAGTAATTGTGCCGCCTAACAGTAATTTGTGATTATTATTATTATTATCAGTCATTTATTGGCCATAAAAGTGTTATTTTTTTGTTTCACTTAATAGGCTATCCTTAAATTTGAGTATGATGAAACTTTTCCAGTCAGGTAAGGTCAACCAAGCCAGGCAAGTTATGTGTCATAATAAATTTGCATCTTGCTATAGTAGCCAATTATACTATCTCTTTTCTCCAGGGTCTTAATGCAAATTGAATGGATCAACCATACAGAGTTACTTACATTGTACATCGTACAAGTGCTTAAGACATTGCATAGGCAATAACCTATTGCTGCTTTCAGAAAGGGTGCTATGCAGTACATGTATTACAGTCAAGTCTCATTAAAGATATTTTAGTGATTGTTCATACAATCTTGAAAAAGGTCTTGAATTTTTGAACAAAATTAATTATGTGGTCGTCTTGAAAACTCCTTGAATTCGGTTAAGGTCCTTGAAAAGTACTTGATTTCTTTATTATTTCTTAAGAAGTCCTTGAAATTCGCTACTTTGTTTACCCCTCATTTTTTTGTGAGAATACTGTAAATCCTTTAAGCTCCCCTCTCAAATAAGCCCCCTCCGTGTAATAAGCCCCGTCTCCCTTTTCAGGGGGAAGAAGGTTGATAAGCCCCCTTCTCTATTAAGCCCCCCATCCCCACCTCTATTATTATTCTTCACTAATGAATGATGTATTATTTAATCAATCTTCACTGTAAACTTAGTGTGGACTAATCCAGTATGGTTTATTTACCAACTGGAAGTTCAGATTTGATTCTGATCCTCGGCTGCATGACCTAAACCTTCTTCTACTTGAACTTTTCCACTTTGTATTCTAGTTCTTGATGGAGAACTGATACCATTGTCGTTTCTAAATGAGATAAGCCCCCCTCTCAAGTAAGCCCCCCCGTCTCTGTTAAGCCCCCCCTCAAATGGGCTTAAAATAAATAAGCCCCCCGGGGGCTTAATCGAAGATTTACCCTAGACTTGTTTGCCCAGGAAAATTTGGCTTGTAATTGGTGTAACAACCTGTAAAACCCATAGGGAATGTAAAACAACGAGCATATGAAAAAAGGAAGGTACAAAACAGAGAAAAAGTTCAACAAACTGTAATTCTTTATTTCAAATTTTATTTCTGTACCTCACTGACAGATGCAACTGCAAGTCATACCCAGCGACTGTTGTCATTTTGCAAAGTGTTCCCAGGGTGCAAAGAAAGTCAGTTTCACAGCCTGCCATTCGGGCAAGCTATAGCTAGCATGTACTACCCCACAAGTCATTTCAACCAGCCCCAAAACCCTTTTTGATTAGCAGAATTGATTACAATCCTTCTGTAATTTGAATTTGCCCAAAACACAGTACAAAACAAAAATCACTAGCCCAGTAGCAAAATCCACTAGCCCTGGGCTATCGGACATGACTTTCTTTGCACGCTGTATTACAGAAAGTAGTATAAAATAATTTGAACTGATGAACCATGGCTAAAGAAGAAAAAATCATATATGTAAATGACTCCATAGAGTTTTTTAACCAGTAAGGTATTTAAAACGGGTTGAAAGAAAGCAGAATTAAATTACTAAATAAATCTTAGACCTCGAAAACTGTGATTTTTCCCTTTGTCTGAAATTGTATGAGCTGTGTTAGTCAACTTAAGTCTCTTATGTGAACAGCTTTATTAAATCTGGCCCAGTTCTCTGCATGGACCCTTCCAGGCCTTATTAATTTTGATGTAGTTTGGTGCACGATTAAAGATTATTTCCCTAAGTAGTCTGACTTAAAATTCTAAGGCTTGAGATTACCGCCAGTCAATGGCCGAATGTACATGTACAGTCAGAAGTGGATCTTAAATACAGTGTATCTACCATTATTTTGTCATACATGTAAGAGTTATGGCGTACTACAAGGAAGGATAAATTATTAAGACCATGATTGTTTTTTTTTCTTTGTAGGGGGCTCTTCTTTGACTGTGAACTTGGAAATCTGTTGAAGGTACCTGCAGTTTGTGTAACCTTAATGCTGCCATTATGCTGATTGATATTGCTCACTACTCTGTCTTCTCATTTGCTAAGAGCCAACAGTTAGGAGAGTGTTGTTTATGTATTGGCATGAGGAGTGCCTGTAGGGTGGTACAGGCGAAAAGTACAAAACGTTTTGTATCTCCGTTGTTAACCAAGCAGAACTTTTAGTGCCTCAAGGTCAAGCCTGTGAATACAGCTGGCCTCTCCTTGTTCCTTGCCACAAGTGAGTGAAAGAGATGTCTGCATTTTGGGCCCAAAAGACACTCACACATCTTTCCCTAAAAATGACCACAGTGAGGAGTGAGGAGAGGTGGCTTTACTGCATTTGGTTGTTTTGAGAAATAGTCTGTAAAGTTTTCACCCCAAACTTTTTTGGCCCACTCCTCCCATTCACATTCACTTCCTGCTTGTAAATAACGAACACTCCCTAGTTCTGTAGCGCAGTTCGCCCTACACGTTACTTAGCTCCCTGCTCAATGAACTGAAAAAATAGTCATTCTGTACAAGTGTTTTGCATGGCTCTGCACTTATTATCTGAACTATCGGTACATATGTACAGTTGTTTACAGCTACACTGTGTATGCCAGCAGTACAACAGATTTTGCAAAAACAAACAAGTGTGTAACATTTAGCATCTAAGGGAGCAAAGAGCAAAATTAATGCTGTACCAAGAAATCACCCTCTCTACCCTTAAGACTTGTCAATATTCACTCCTTTTCCAAAAGCTCTGCAATTGTCATTATAATATTATTACTGTCTAGATGGGTAAGGCAATAGGCAAAAGTTCCTCTCTTTACATTGCACTTGAACTGGAAATCAATATGTCTTCACCTCCAGCTGTTGGCACAAGGCTGCTTACACCCACCCACCCACTGCATTTGCCAGTGCCAGACTTCATGAAAAGTCCCCCCCTCCATTTTGTGCCTACATGTACATGTAGCTCACTTATGATAACCTCCCACAATCAAAGATGTTCTTATTGTGCTCCATTGTGCATTCCTGTCCTGAACGTTTTTGAGACAGGAACAGGTGACAAAGCCCTAAGAACATCTGGTTGGGAAACCAACTTAGTCAGGGCTTGTGATAGTTTGCAGAAAAAAAGTCTAATTTCATGGGATTATCAAGGAAAGTTCGCAGAAAAATAGGCCAATTTCACTGGATTTTCGCAGGAATAATTATTTAGGGCGAACTTCGCCAAATTTCACTAAAAATCAATTGCTTTTGCAGTGATCTGACCATCATCTTTACTTTTTTTTAACAAAGATAATCATTTGCTCTTTCAACAACAATACGCTTAAGAAATGAGCCAATGGTAATGCTTTTAACATGATAACTACAGCTGTAGTGCCCAGTTTTTTGCAACATAGGGCACTGATCTAAATTCTTGAGATTTCGGTTAGAGATCAAATGGAAAGGACCATTTCAGTTCATCGGACTGGAACATTTGGAACCACCTTACCTTTGACGCCGGTCCACTTTGACTGGTCTGCTCATTTCAGTCAGTTGGAGCGAAACTTCCCTTTCCATTCGACAAAATTGTTGTCTCCAGTACCGCTCTTTTACATCTTGCTAGTGCTTACAGGAACAATAACCAAACTCGCATTTGCTTGGGTCGAGTCTGTGCAACCGGAATGTTCCATTGCATTAGGCACGTGGAATTTCCGAAATTTTTGTTTAATGAAAAAAAATGTATTTAATAAACAAAATCATGCACACTGTACTTTATAGAAATGTAATTAGTAGTTATCTAATTGTAATTGTGATTGTTTTGTAGGTTGATACTTATGGCAATATTCTTGTTTGTGTACATGGTTTTGAATTCTTTAATGGGTAGGTGATTATGTTGAATGTTATTTTTATTAATGCAACAATAATAAATTATTGTGACCCTCCATGTGGCAAAGGTAATAGCATGCTTCACAACACACTTCCACTTAAAACAAAAGAAAATCAGGTATGGCACACTAGCAAAGCATGCAAGAGCACACTCAAATGAATTTTTTGTTGCTGTGCCTTTTTCTGCAGTTATCCATCACAATTGATGTCATTTGTCTTCCAAATTTGGTCAATGCTAGCTGGTTACGATTCACTCACAAAGAGAGATAATTTTATATCATTTTTGACTGAAAACACCTGTATGGTAGTAACATTATTATTGTAATAATACCATTGTCCTGTGACAGTGGTAGTTTATTACAATAACAATTAATATTATTATAATTATTATTATTATTATTATTAACAATTACTGAATGAAGCTGAGTATCATCTGAAGAATTATGGAGATCGAGGAGGGTCAGAAGCAAGCTAAAACATACTTACCTCCATCAATGTTAAGTTCACCTTCAATAGCGCATGTTTATCGGCAACTTTAGGAGATAAAGTGTTGTTAAAGTGAGCAAATATTCTCCAAATATCAGATGTTAACTGCCGAGTTGTCTTCTTCCTGATCTTGCTATGTTTTTAACAAATAGTTTGCCTACTTCTTCCTCCTGAAATGAGTGAAATGTTCCGCCATTTTGTATTCACTAATTAATTAATTAATTTCAAAACTTATAAGGCGCAAATATCTATATAAATATATTCAAATGCGCCATAGGGAAAAAAAAAGCAAAACAAAGCAAAACAATAATACTACTAATAATAAAAATTATGATAATAAAAATGATAAAATAAGATGATAATATAGATATAGAAATAGAAAAACTAATGGCTAAAAGTTAAAAAGATAAAATCTGCTAGCAAAATCTTAAAAATCATAAGCTGAAAATTATTTATGATCTAGTAAGCTACAAATACAATCTTTCAGTGTAAGAGGAACAAAATGCTTTTTTAAAAAGCTGAGTCTTCAACTTTTTCTTAAAAGTGTCAATTGAAATGGATTCCCTAATAAATCTTGGCACAGCATTCCATAACTTAGGTGCAGCAAACAGAAAGGCCCGTTCACCCAGAGTTGCCTTGGGCTTAACATTCAGAGAACTAAGTAGGGTGCTGTCGCTAGAACTTCTTAAATTATATTTAGATACAGGCTTAGGAGTAATTAAAAAACTTAAGTACGAAGGTGCTAAGCCCTTAAAAATCTTAAAAACAATCAACAGGATTTTAAATTCAATTCTGAACTTTACAGGCAGCCAATGTAAATCTACTAATAAAGGAGTAATGTGACAATATTTACTTTCATTGCATATTAATCTAGCACACATGTTCTGCACACGCTGTAGCTTATCGAGTTGATACTCCAGCAGGTCATATAAAAGACTGTTACAGTAATCGGCTCTGCTTGAAATAAAGGCTTGAATCAGAGTCTTGGTGTTGTCTTTAGATAGATATTTTCTTATGCGTCTCAGATTATACAAATAATAGAAGGCAGAGTTACATGTTTTTGAAATATGGATTGCCATCGTCAGCTTGGAATCAAACCACGAGCCCAAGTTCCTTGCAGACGACACAGGAGTGATAGTTGCAGTCCAAACACGAAGGCTGTTGATAGCTAGTTGATAGCTAGTTGCTGCGATGTGCCAATGATCATGAATTCAGTTTTATCATCGTTCAGTTTCAATTTGTCGTTCAGCATCCAGTTATGAATGTCTTCAATACACCTTTCGACCCTAGCCAAGGCGGCCTCTTGATTAGCATTATCATTACGACAGAAGGATAAATAGAGTTGGCTATCGTCCGCGTAGCAATGGATCTCTAAAGTATGTTTGCCAACAATTTCAAACATCTTGCTAGCATAGACAACAAACAACAAAGGCCCAAGGCACGTACCTTGAGGTACGCCGCATTCCAGATCAAACTTCGTTGAGAGTGTGCCATCGATTGAAACTTGCTGAGTTCTGCCACTTAAATATGATGCAAACCAGGACAGTGCCGTATCCCGAACTCCAAATGCAGACCTAAGCCTCTCAAGTAAGATATCGTCATCAATGGTATAAAAAGCCGCGCTCAAATCCAACAGAACAAGCAAGGTGACTGTTCATGTTTAGTAAAATGTCATTTTTTACTTTCAAGAAAGCGGATTCCGTGCTGTGAAACTTACGATATGATTATTGCTGCAAGGGAAATAAATTATTCTTGTTGATGTGGTGCTGAAGTTGTTTGGTTACCGCACTCTCAGTCAGTTTGTAGATGACTTGTAAGTTACTGACTGGTCGATAGTTTTTGAATATTGGTTCTAAGCCATCTTTCTTAAGGACAAACCAGGGCATTTTTCCACACTGATGGAAAGACACCATGCTCGAGAGAGTAGTTGATGATCTTGGTAATTACAGGAAGAAGAATATGCAGGCAATCGAGAACTAATTTTGTAGGAATCGGATCCAAGCAACAGGTCTTCTTATTGGATGCACGGATTAAGTCGTGCACCTCCTCCTGGGATAACAAATTAAACTTGGAGATAGGGAGATCGATTTTGCAGTCATTATAGTCATTGGAGCCAACACTGCAGACTTGTGGTGGATGATTATCGAGATCGGAACGAATGTTAGCAATCTTCCTAATGAAGAAGGCGCCCATCTCGTTAGCGAGTTGCTGTTTGTCCTCATGCGGTGGCAAAACGGGAGTACTTGTAATGTTCAAGAGATTCTTGCTTACTTTGAAGAGATGTTTGAGATCATTACGATTATTGGAAATGATATCACTGTAGTAGTCCTGCCGAGCCTTGTTCATTAGAAAGGTCACATAGTTCCTACTTTTCTTGAACAGAATGAGGTCAGACTGACATCTCGTAGTTCTCCATTTTCTCTCTGCTTTCCTACGTTGACGTACAAACCAGTCAACAGGTCTTCTTAGTTAACCGTTCAATAATCTGGCAATTTTGCTGCACGGTTGATGTCTTCAGTTCACATTTTTGCAAAATTCTTTTAAATTTGGTCAACGTTAGCTTGTTATGATGAATAAAGTGTGGGATTTTAGCCAATCAGAAAAGAGAAATAGTTTGAAATGATAATAATAATACTTATTATTAGTAGTAGTAATTGTAGTGGTAGTGGTAGTGGTATTAGTAGTATTGTTTGTGCTTACATTAGCATGCAATGTAGCCTGAGTGTATAACACTTTAACTGTATTAACTTGTACATGTACAATAACGTGAACATCCAGGATAATTTATTGTCATGTCTTTTTTTGTGTGTTACAGCCATGAAGTCAGAAGATTGTACCCCAACAAGTTTGTGCAGGTAAGTACTTCAGATGTACTCACCGTTTAAGCAGTAATTATGCTGGAACGTACAGCTGTAAGTTGAAGGTCACTTGTGTTTTGATTCTAGAGAAGGGCGCCTTCCGCCAAGCGCTCTCTACTGGCTAGAAATTGGTAGCTAGACCAAATTTTCATTTGTTTAGAGAATTCTGTGCTGTATCAAGACTATCCGGCCAGATCCGTCCATTCCTAAATAAGACACACAGCAGTTAGAGGGTTAAAATTCAAAACATGGTAGTGATCAAAATTAATGTTAATCAGAAGGTGGTGATTTCTATAGTACAATATGGCCTGTAATAATAATAATGAAAGTACCGTATTTATTCGATTAACCGCCCTGGGCGTTTATTAAATTTTTGGACCTTGAGAGTGGGCGCTTATTCGAGGTGGGCGCTTATTCGAGGCTGGGCGCTTATTAAATTTTCACCATTTTAGCAAGTGAAGTATGTTTATTTTGCAACAAAACAATAAATGCTAATAACAAAACGCGAAGAAGTAACAAAGCAAGGTTTCTGTAAAATACTTTGAAGAAAACTCCTTCCTCGGGGAAGTCTCTCCGTTAGAATTTATTCCCTCAAGTGGGTAGGGTGGGGGTGAGCGGTTATTTGAGTTTGATATGATTGGGAGGAGGAGGGGGTGGGCGCTTATTCGAGGCTGGGCGCTTATTAACTTTTTCGGCCTTTAGGACCTTGAGAGTGGGCGCTTATTCGAGGTGGGCGCTAATTCGAGGTTGGGCGCTTATTCGAATAAATACGGTAATAATAATGATAATAACAACATTGACTTCATTGACTTCCACCTGTTCTATGGTATAGGGGTGCTCTCGACGTCCCTCTGTTTATTTTAACAATATATTGTTTAATATTGCATTTTACAGGCAGACTCCTCAAGATATTTTATACTAAACACGCTCTTCAATTTGCCAGGTAAGTCTTTAGCGAGGTTTGGTGATTGGAGATTTTCATTTTATCTTGACGAAAAACAAATGAGAGCATTTTATCTATCATTGTTTGTAAACTTGTTTGTTCTTTTTTTTTCTGAATTTACAGAGACATATTTACTAGCCTGTCTGGTGGACTACTTTGACAATAATCCAGACTTTAAAAGGTCAGTGATGTTGGACTTAGACATGCGGGGAACATAACATGGCATTAAAAAATAGAGCCCCTCTATGAATTGTAACACGTATTCATTTTTCATACATTTTCGTCCTATAGGACACAGTAGGAATGTTTTTATTTTCAGGCAGAGAATGCATAAACCTTATACAGAAAATAAGTTTACGAAATGGAATGTATTAAAACTCCATTTTCTTTAACGGGTTTTTCTTCGTGTTAAAAGGTTTCAATTAATCATAAGAGTTGCAAACAATAACCAAGAAAAGTTTACAGTTTGACGTGTTCTTGCATAGGATTTCTGTGTTATTTAGAGGATTCGAACCAGGTTTAATACAAGGAAGGTGGTTGGAAAACTAAGGATTAGTATACATGCTGCTTTGCGAAGTTTTTCGTAAAGTTTGCTCAGATAATAGTAAAGTTAGCACCTTTTTGCATTCCAACATGTTCCTTGCCGTTGTTACTTTTCTTTTTAGCTGTCAGACCATTGTTTTAATCTCTTAACATTCTTTGACTCAATTTTGGTCAACAGAACAAGTAATGGGGTTGTCAGTTCTGATGATTTGTTGTTGACCTACAAAAGTATTCATCAAGATGTGAGAGCAGCAGTGGACTGGGTTCATCTTAAGGTAAGTTTATGGATAGTTGCTTAATCAGTTGGCAGGTTTCAATCGTTGTTGAACCCTGTTGGTGTAGTCTGCCACAATTGGAACTTGGTGGTGCTTCCCAAGGCCTGGTGGGAAGGTAGCCTGTTGCAGGTTTTTAGATAGTGGGTATGGATCAAAGAGATGTGGGCAGGACAAAAAATTTGCTCCGACAGTTACGCGTTAACACCGTTCGCTACGAGGACAATAGAATAGGACTTACGGACATACTTACACAGACGTTGACATAAACACAGTGAGGGAGTGGATGGCATGCAGTCTGTCAATAAGTCTTTCAGTCAATACGCAAAGTGTAAGTCTATGAGCCCCTTCTCTAAGTGATAAACAGAAACTGTGATTTATATTTTAGTTAGGGACCGTTCATTTTTTATCAGATAGTGTTGGGGGGGCATGCCAAAAAATGGTTTAAAGGGGCGGGGCGGGGGTGCAGGCAAAAGTATTGGGTGTAAAGGAGGTGGGCTCATCAAAAGAATTCTTTCAATTTTTACATTGACGGCATCTGTGATAGTAGGGAGCTTAAGAACACCATCGAAAACGTCACCCAAATAGTGAATTCGCGCTTCTCAAACGTATTGCAACTCTTTTAATTTGTCAAATGTTGGCGTTGAATTCTAAAGGACTGTAACTAAGTTCACAAAAAGACAAAGAAAATGGTTGCCATGTGTTCCCGTCCTCCATAAAACGTGAAATTAGGAAGGTTCACGTCATCTGGTCATGCATTGACGGCAAAGAAATGTACAAAACAGCATGATGTGCGTACAAAGTTGTTGTTTTGCCAATCTAAACCTATTGCTTTTTTGCCGTTCTCGTTGCCGTTGCCGTTCTCGTTTATTCCAATTCACAGAAAAAGTGAAATGTAGGCGAATTTCCCTGGAGTTGATTTCTTAGGGACCGGACTCAAGTTTAGAAAGAGAAAGAGAAATTCATCGTCGCTTGTTGACGTTCTCCGTAAAAAGTGAAATTAGGCATTATCACGTCGTAGTGGTGTAGTGACGGCAAAGTAATGTACAAACAAGCGTGATGCACGTGTAGAGTTGTTGTTTTGCTAATCAAACCTATTGCTTTTTTGCTGTTCTCGTTACCGTCGCCGTTGCTGTCATCGTTGCTTTCGCTCCTTAGTGCAAACAACCTGCCAGATTGTCAAAAACCAGCATTTCTAATGTTCGGCCTAAAGTTCATATTTTCCTTGGGAAACATGCCCCGGACCCCAAGCAATTCTACCCCAACAAAATGCCAAAAAAATAAAACATACAAATCGAACGTGTCACTGCGAAAAAGTAATGTCCACTTCCATAACAAAAAAATGGAATGTCTCTTGCCTTTGACTGAACTTAAGCTATCACCACGTGACTACTATAGCAGTTTTAATTTGTTACTTCAGGTAACGTTTGCTTAGTGTTTATTGTTACCATAGATGTTTGAGAAGTGTGGCGGATGTCGCAGTGTAGGTGTGAGGGAGAAAAACGCGACAAAGCTTCTTTTTGATTTATGTTTAGCAGTAATAATTTAATTTTTTCTTCAACCTTTCTTTCTTTTTCGGTTTTTTCGTTTTTTTAGGGGGGGGGTCATCTCAATTATTTTGGGATACAATGGGGGCCACCCGAAAATTTTTTTGATGAAGAGGGGGGTCGTCATATACTACAGGAACTATCTTTTAAATCCCACCTGCCTCCCCTCCCCACTCCTCACTACCCTATTAAAAAATGAACGGTCCCTAAATGGGTCATTCTTTGCTGCCTCTAGTCCTTGGGATTTCTTTTAGAATTTGATTTTTATGCCCATCCGATCGCCTCTGTTCCATTGAAAACAGGACACTCCCTTTAGTCATGGGGCCAAACAACAGTCCTAAAAACTGAGGTAAACTTTTCAGCACATGGAGTGTTCTATACTTTGATTGTGAGCGTAATTTGTCACTCATGATGTTAATAGGTAATCAAATGATGTATTTGTGAAATTATTTTCTAATTTTTACTTGTCACTATTTTATTACTCATACTAATCATATACATGGAACAATTCATTTGGAATAGGTTCTGGTATTGCACTGTAAATAACCCGTTGATTTGTTCCAAGTACAAAGTTTGACGTGACCTCTGTTTATGATTTCAGGGTACATTAAAGCAAATCACTGTTGACAATCTTGACACATACGTTATAAAAGAGGTTTGTGTAACCTTTTAGTATGTGGATAAGCCATTCTCGTTCTGTGATTGTTCAATTTTTTTAAAAAAAACAACCCACTGTATGTAATGCAAAATATCCTTTATTTCCCTTCAATTCTGCCGCTTCTAAAATAAAAGTAATGCATCTGTATCAACAGAAAAGCAATCTGGGTGGATTTTGTAACCAAGGTGTTTTCTCTTTCCCTATTTCTAGCCAAATCTCGCCAAGCTGTTAAGCAGGTATGTAACCAATTTTTTTCACTTTTGTCCTAAAAAGTTTATTGAAGTCTTTGGATTGAATGTTGGATGTTACATCTTGCACTTTTGCAAGCCTGTTAAGACTAGCAGTTTAACTTTTGTGAGTATGCTAACATCTTACTGGTTTTGTCGCATGCATCGGTGAATCCTGGATAGTCCCCTTTGTCATTATAATCCATTTTTCGTCACTTAGGTATTGTCTATTATCGGAGAATGGTCTTTTTCGTGTGTTTTAAATTATTTTTGTCAATATTGTAATTTTTAGAATGCGGAAAAACGGACGTAAAGTATTCATTCTTACTAACAGTGGATACTCTTACACAGATGTAAGTACACATAGAAGTGTTTAAACGGAAAAACAAACTAAGCTTAGCAAGCAGCATTAAGCAAGACCATATTAGAAAAATTATGAGGAAGTGTGAAAGAGAAGTCATTTTAAACACAGCAGCTTACTTTTGGTTGTCCTGTTTAAAAGTTGATAGGGATTGGTTTGAAAAAGTGTAGAAATGTTTTCACAACTGCAATTGAAAGGATTTTTTTTCATCCTGCTTACAAAATTATTCTGTCTTTGCCATTTATAAATTATTGGTAATGAATCGGTGTATAATTCGAAGAGGGAAGGGAACAATGTAGAGTCAGCTTAACCCTTTTCTGACAATTTCCTGAAATCACGTTTACTTATTTTTTTCCCCACTTTTTGTTCTTCAGAAAATCCTGTCCTTCTTGCTAGACGAGAAAGATGAGGTATGTGTAGCAACAATTTTCAGATGAGCTGAAACAGTCGTTTTTTGGTATTAAATAAAACTGCGTGGTATGACCAGAAATGCGCGCAATGGCGAATCTGCCAAATTTTCACTACATTTGCCATTTTCGCCATTTTCGTCAAAATTGCTACTTTTCAAGGGGCCCCTGTAAAAATCTCATTGAATTTTCGCTTAATCTTTGGCAAATTTTCGGCACAATCGCCATTTTCGCCAAAATTGCCACTTTTCAAGGCGCCCCTTCGGACGTCTTTGAATTTCTTAAAAACCTTTGGCGCATTTTCGCCAAAGTTTCCATTTTCATTGTTGCGTACATTTCTGAACATATGACTTCACGTTTCACGAGGGACTGCATTCTTGAGCAAAGCAAAAATACAGCTGTTTTGCATTCTAACTTTCGGATGGCCAACATAATGCCCACGTCTTATTATATTCTTTCTCTTTTTACTTCAGACAGGCAAAGTAGTTAGAAGGTGGACATCTTATTTTGACTACGTTGGTGTTGACGCGAGAAAACCTCTGTTTTTTGGAGAAGGTACAAAGAGAATTTGACCAATTCAGTGTATTACTATAAGCAGGGCTTGTAAATAATGATCTTCATAATGTACTAATTTGTTTCTCTGATGTAAATGAAAAGGAGGCGATAGTCTCTACTTTCTTTTTGACATTACATGCTCAGTACTGTCATATGTTCAATAACTGGATTGTGTTTTAAGTGTCTTGGGTCCACAGTGGATAGTTTTCAGAGCTCATAAACATCGCCGGTAAACATCATCGTTGTAGAAGCAGAGAGGGTTGGCCCGTGGATCCCCCAACCCCCATTTTTTGGGAAAATATAATTTTACAGTTGTTTAAGAAGACTTTATGTTGTGGGGAAGGATGTCCACGAACCTCGTTACAGTAATGGGCCGGTTGGGCCACCGACCCATTACAGTTTTGTCATATTACTTTCAAATTCTTTTCTACTGGCCTAAACATATTACTTTTAAGTTAGTTAATTATTCAGTCTTTCTGCAGCGCTTGGGAACGTTTCCATAATTACATGTCAGTAACAATGGCTGTAGTGGTGAATTAAGTCTATAAATTCAGCTCAGCTTGTGCGAGTTACAAATCAGTAGTCTGTAGAGTATGCAATGAATTGAGTAGTCACGACAGACTAACCTGATTATCCATTGCACTTCTATTACTTCTAGGAACAGCACTACGGAGAGTGGACACGGTAAGATGTTATTTTCATTAAGTATTTTTTGCTCAATAAACTATGTTTTTAGGTAAGGTTTACTTGTCTTATCAATAGATCCTTCCACGGATTTTTCAACTTTTGACTGGGACCAGTCAGCGAAAATCCGTCAATACCGTTGGAAAGTTTTAGGGTGATTTGTTAGTGACAGTGCCCCACAATGTCGCGACATTTTACAGACGCTTGTATGGTGGCGGGGTGGAGGGGAATGCAAGGTCGTGCCCCCCACCATACAAACGTCTGTAAAATTTCGCGACTTTCAGTTCTGGAGCAATATCTTCGTTCGCTTTGGACGTGTAGTATCACCTTTAAACTTGCCAAGTTTGCTAATGGTAAGGCGCTCTTTTAAGCTGTGTCAATGGATATTTACTTACTGGTCGTTAAAAGTTGAAAAAAAATTGTGAAAGGATCTATTGCGTATAAAGAAATCCTCAGAGGACGCCTGCTGTAGCAATAATCAAGTAGCTGAGATTGAATTCCGAAAAACCTTCATCCACCCTAACTTGAAGCCCGAGCGTGAAGTCAACATAGCTTTCTTGCAACTCAGTCTCTTAAAAGGTAAATAAGAAAAAAGGGTTATTTCCAGCTAGGCCGAGAAAACAGCCTACGTTTCGCGACGCCACCACTGGTTTCCCCGCGAATGACGTCTAAGGAACGAGCGCAAAATTCCATACTGATGACGCGTCACTACCCAGATCTGGGTAATGCTTCTGATCGTTTGAAGAAAATTTTTAGCCAATCAGAAGCACTACTCAGATCTGGGTAGTGACACGTCATCAGTATGGAATTTCTGCGTTCGTTTTTGTCAGACGTCATTTCGCGGGAAAACCAGTGGTGAGTGGTGGTGTAGTGAAATGAATATCCAGCTCTCTTGATGAGAAAATGTGATTGTTTTAAAATAGCCAAAGTTTTGCAACCAGGAAAAACAAGTTCTTTAAAAACATTTTTAACAGTCTAATTTGCACTTCACTTTCTAGGAGACCGGTACTCTGAGCATTGGTAGATACTCAGGTGAACTAAAGGAGGGTCAAGTTTTCTCTGGAGGTGAGTCATTGTGACACGAAAACTGAAAAGCAACACAGGTTTGGCCGTGAAACGTTGAATTTTAGTTGTGACGAACGTGATGCATTTAAGCTAAACAGCAGTTTTGCTTATTATAGCATTTGGTTCGTCACATGTCATGTTGGAAGTTTTAACATGGTCTCGTGGTGTGACTGTTGATCAAGTAAATGTACATATACCCTAAACAGGCATCCTAGACCTCCTATATTTCTTATTTATCCTATAATTTGTATAGGATACTGTAAAGAACCTATATTTCCTATAAGTAGGACATAATTATTCTGATATCTGTATCCTATATTTCCCATAAGTAGGACAAATCCTGATATCTGCATTTTGTACTGTGAAGCAATTTTGTTGCGAATTAGACTGTTCACAGTCCCCTATTTTTTCGTGAGATCGTTTAGGTATACCGCGTCTTACCGTCACGGGTATCTTGATTTTCAAATGTACCGAGGGGGCGGGCGTCGGGGACACTCATGCAAGATGGCAGCCCGTAACACATAGCGCTCGATCTCGACGATCTTACGGAAAAATAGAGGACTGTGAACAGTCTAGTTGTGAATTAACAAAATCAAAATTCTTTATCTGTAAAAAGAGCCTGCATTTGGCAGAAAATTCCTATTTCCCCCTATATTTTGAACTTAGACAGCCTATTTTTCCTATCAGATTTTTCAAAAAGTGGCTGGGATGCCTGCCTAAATCATTTCAGAATGAAGGAGGATTTAGGGGGAGGGGGTGCTTAATAAAAGGGGGGCTTATTAGAGGGGGGGGAGTTAATAAGAGATTTACGATGCCTATTATGTCATGAGGTGCAAGAATATGAAGAGTTGTAATGGATTGTTTTGGTTGTATCTTTTAGGCTCATCCGATGTGTTCTGCAAACTGTTAGGCGCTGAAGGGAAGGTAGGAAAACACTGATTTGTGCAGATATTCGTTTTAATTATATGGCTGAATCTGCACGTGGGCAAGATGAAGCGAGTCCTTTGCTAATACGTACGTGTAATTAGCTACCCAGGTGGGCAAGATGGATCTATCTTTCACTCGTTGATCCCACAAAAAAGTTATTTTTTGGCCATGTAATGAATCCTTCCCTAACCAAGCGTGTCTCTGTCAGCAAGGCTGAATATTGGCCACGTTCGTTGTTGCGTTTTTATTGTTCTTGATGTCGTGTCGGGCTACAAAAACTTTAAAAAAAAAGCTAATTTTCCAGCGGTTCAGACCTCACGCTTGGTCAATAGGTTAGCGCATACCGTAAAGCACCGCTTAAAAACTGCGCCTCAACCAAAAAATACCGAACCATCTCCAACTTCTTTACTCTTGGTTGGCCAGAAAATTTAATATGGTAACTGGTGTCGTGTCTTTTTTTCCTTGCAGGATATCATATACATAGGTGACCACATTTTTGGTGATATCCTGAAGTCAAAGAAAAAGCAAGGATGGAGGTAGGATACGTCTTACAAGTCCTCTTTTTTTCATTTATTAATTTTCTGTCACGTATAATGCGAGTCAGATAAAAAGGCAAACAAAGCAGATGCGACACGGTCCCATGTACGGCGGCGTCAGCATATAAAGAAAAATAAATTTGATCAATTATCTTTCCCATGGAGGTTGTTGTAAAACGTCTTTGAACGATTATGGTGCTGACTGTCTATCTACCGCAAATCCCCTTTTAAGCCCCCTCCCCTTCCCCCTTATTCTTACATGATAGACGGTATTAATTAATCTCGACTATAACACTTCATACGGACTGATCCGGTATGTTTTATTCATGTGCTGGAAGTTCGATTTTGTTATTGATCGCCGGCTGCATTACGACCAACTTCATGTCCTTGCTCTTTTCCACTTTTCGTTCTAGTTCTTTATGGGGAATTGATATCATCATCTTCGCTAAATTAGATAAGCACCCTCTCTCTATGAACCCCCCCACCCCTCCTCAGACGTGCTTGAAATAAATAAGCTCTCCTGGGGGACTTAACAGAGGATTTACGGTATCCGTTTCGGATGCAACCCGCACTGATTTGATGACTTTGTCGGTCCCTCTCCCTTCTGCCAGTCATGACAGGTAGGTGTTCCCGTTCACTATATCTTCGTAGTTGGTCTAGTTGTGCGCTTGTTACAGTCGAACCTTCATTAAGTGGTTACCCATGGGGAAAGGTCAATTGACCGCAAGAAGAGATTGAAACACTTAGGGGTCAATTTGCCGTGGAATCCATATTTTGCTCTTTCACGATCTTTATTTTGTTGAATAACTCCTTGGTTAGTTAAACCTTTTTTAAACGGTCAACCTGCATTACGTGGTCAGTAAGCCGTTCCCCAAGGTTGACCGCTTAATACAGGTTTGATTGTTCAGTACAAGTACCGATGTAATGTTGGAGTGATATTTAACTCACATGGGCTTAATGCCCTTGCTTTTGCCACCAATTTACAGAACCTACTTAGTGATTCCAGAACTGACACAAGAACTCGAGGTGTGGCAGTCCAGACAAGGTTTGTAAGCGACTCGTTTCCAAGACTTCATTTAAATAGGCCATTTCCGAGTTCTAAAAACCCTCACTTTCAAAACGAGGCTAACTGCAAAGCCTTTCTTGTGATAATAAGTTTAATGTGCATTCGAATAACATAGACTGACTTTGAAACGGAAGTTCGGGGCAACTCGGAAGTGACCTATTGTCAATCGCATTCTTTTCTTTACATTTATCTACCCAAGTCCTAAAATTTAGGATTCTCTCCTTATACTGTAGCAGTAACCTGTTTATCAAGCTTTCTTAGCTTCAAGAAAAATACGCACATAGTGACATTCGAGGTGGTCTCTCCAATAAGACCTGCGGTTTCTTTAGGTCTACTCACCCATTCTTATTTTTACTTTCTCGTTATTTCATTTCTTCTCTTTTTAGACGTGTTTGGAAAACTGCGAGACCTTGACGTCGCTCTAGCGGACACTTATAAGTGAGTATTAATCATAAAAACGCCAGTTTTTCTAAGACTCTGATAGACCGAAACACTTATTAGTTGTATTTGACTCGCAAATTAACCACTCTCTTCTGTTCAAAGAAATTTAGATTCTGCAGCTACTGATAAACCAGATATCACGGAAATAAAAAGTGCCATTAGGGTAAGTATGCTCATAGGGCCTTACTATACTAACAGTAACTCAAGCCAAATTGCAAGTTCCAGATATCTTCTTATTCCTGTGGTTAGGACATCCTATCGATATTTTGCTATTTTTCTGTGTTCTTCTGTGCTTTCAAAATCAAAAATGGCGACGCCACCCAAGAAATACTACTGAGCGCTTCGCTCACCTGCTCGAAAAATTGGCCTGCAGCTTAGGATAATGTATAACTTGTTACTTTTTTTCCATCAGGATGTAACAAATATGATGGAGACATGCTATGGCAAGTTGGGAAGTCTTTTCCGTAGCGGTAAGATTGCATTTATTTGTCACGATTAATCTTTTTTTGCTATTATTAGATATGTGTTTTTATCAAGTAATCAATAAAAAACTATTTTATTATTATTATTTTTTTTCTTTATTTTGGCAAGTTTGGCACCAATTACAGCAAGGAGCCCAAAAGTGTGACCGCCGTTAATTAACTCACATTCTTTCATGCAGACATTAACCAATCAGAAGTCGAGGACAGTTTCCAGCTGGTTTCTGATTGGATTAAATCTGCACGAAAGAATGTGAATATATCAAAAGCGGTCACACTTTTTGGCTCCTTGCTGTAACAAATTAAATTATTATTTACCATTTTTCTGGAATTCTTTCTTTAACTCTCTATTAGATGGACACCTTTGGTACCGGCCTTATGCGTCCACCGCAAAGAGGTGTTAATTTACTTTTTATTTTATTTTTATTTATTTACTTTTACTTAGATGCAGGTGCAAACAGATTTTGATACCTGTGCTGGTATTATCCTTCTTTGCAGGCAATAGACAGACATTTTTTGCCAGCCAGGCTACCCGCTATGCTGATTTGTATGCTGCTTCATGTGTTAACTTGTTACACTATCCTTTCAGTTACCTGTTTAGAGCTCCTCCGCAATTGGTAAGTATAGAAAACAGTTTGACATTAAAAAGTGTGACAGTGTCGGTTCCTCTTCGTTGCAAGCAGGCAACGATTTTTGACATCTTTATGACTTCAGCTTGTTATGTTCGTTTCCTGGTTTTCTGTTTGCTTTGATTTTGTTCATCGGAGTTTGTTTTCATTATAAATTTTCCGAAGAACTTTGGTGTCCATTTGATACGGATGATGCGGAACCAACTGAAATCCAAAATTATTCTTCGGGAAGTGGAGTCGTACAGTTTGAACGCTGTGAACATCAAGATCAGAATTAACATTTTGTATGTTGCCCTTCTCAAATCCCTATATGAGTAGTGGAGTAAAGTTGTTATTAAAGTATGAAGTAAATTCATCTTGTGTGATCATGTCCTTAATTCTCATGATCACTCTCTTTTATGAAGCATTGATATTACTATGAGAAATTTGATGCGGATCACACTTAGGGCTTAAAGGGATAAAAGCATGAAAATGAAACCTTTCAAATGCGTGACTCACCCTTTTGTCGAGTGGCAATGATAACGCTGGATTTACTGTAAAAGGGGCACTTAGTTTGCCGGTCTTGTTCTTACCTTAAGATGTAGCGTGCAGGATACCAACAAACAATCCGTTCGAATTTAAGGACGTGTATTGTATGTTTTTTTAGATGCCTCACGAGTCAACAGTGGAACATACAGGTGAACTGTTTGAGCCTACAGAGAGCTCTGCATACGGTCCCCGAGGCTTTTCCTTTACTGAGGATGCACCCGGTGCTCTTCATAGGTCAAATTCTAGTGGAAGCAACTCATCTGGCTCAGTTTTTACACGAGGAACTTGCAGGTGTGATGATGACGTAGATGATGACGATTCTCAAGAAGTGCAAAATTCCTTGGAGACAGTTCGTGAAGAGAAGACGACCGTTTGATCTAAATAAAAAACAAGATAGCCTGAGAAAACAGCCGATATTTTGTAACGCCACCACTGGTTCCCCGCAAAATGACGTCTGGGGAACGAGGGCAGAAATTCCATACCCATGACGAGTTACTACCTGCAGATCTGGATAGTGCTTGTGATTGCTTCAACCAATCCGAAGCACTGCACAGATCTGGGTAGTCACACGTCACCAGTGTGGAATTTATGCGCTTCTTTCTTAGATGTCATTGGCGGGATAACCAGTTGTGGTTTCGCGAAATGTCGGATGTTTTCTTAGGCTGGAATCATGATTGTGAAAATGACGATACAAAATACCCGGATTCCTGGTCCAGTTCAATATCACTGCCGTGGTAATTCTTAAAGTTATCCTGTCAACAACTTATTTTGCGGGGTGAACTAAAGCATCATTATATAGTAGATATTTTTAGATAATTTTCATGACGTTTACTTCAGTTATTTGTGAAATTTTATCAACGGTTTCTGTTGTTTTATGAGGGTTGTGGTTGGGTAGAAAAATATGTATGTTTTTAAGTATTGTCTTGAAGTTTCAACAAAGTATTTAATGGAGGCATTAACTTTAATTAATTTTCTCGGTAATTATATAAGAGCATTTACAGGCACACCAAACAAGGTGGCCATATTAAGACAAGTTTCATGTTTTTATTGCTATTTCAAAGTTTTATTCCACTTTAATTCGGAGCCTTTGCGCTTGGCACATCCAATTTTCTTAGAGCAATATTTTCGCTAAATGGTAGCTACAAAAACAAAACAAAACAAAGCGCGTCCGAAAATAGTTAAATGAAAGAAAGAAAGGGAGGAAACGATTAGAAGGTTTTTGTTGTTACGCAGATTAAGAATGTCAAAAATCGAATGTAATATTCTAATTTTCTTAGGGAAAGTTTCTTGGTTGATGTGATTGTATTAATTTCTGTTGTCTGTAACTTTTCCCTGTCTTGTCCACCAGTGCTTTATGTCCTGTTTGCGGTAATTAGATGTCTACGTAGCTGTATTCAAGTTGACTGTTCCTACCAGTCAGTTCCAAAAAATGAAAACGACCGACAATGGGCCATTTGCATGATGACGTCTTTTTCCGACTAAGACCACAATTCATTTCGTTTTTACTTTCATATTAAAATTTGTTAGTCCCAGTGAGGTTTTATTAACAAAAGCCTTAATTTGCACAAGAAAGCAACACCCAGAAGGATTGCGGTCGTACTTAGTAAAATGACGCCATCGTGCAAACGGCCTATTTTGTCTGAGAATACGGAGACGATTCATGGTGTAGTTGTAACGAGTGGGTAAATACCTGATGGTTAGCCAAAAATGAGTACATCCATATCCCTCTATCGTCCTAATCTGTTATACTTACATTTGACTATACATGACACTCTGACCCCTGGCGAATACTTTATGGGTAGCCTAACAGAAATATTTATTTTCCCTGTGCGTGGAAGTTGGCGCAATATATCGTGATTCCGCATAGTTTTACTACATCTGTCAAACCCTTTTTTAACAACGCATACACTCAATTATTGTCAAACTAAGTTTAAATTATGTCAATGATCCATAAGTTCTAATTCTAATATTCCTTGACTTAAATTAGTAACATGTTCGCTTTTCACATCAGCCAAGTTTTTGGAGGCATTCATAGAGGCAGGTTTTAAAAATGTCATACAGTTCGCAAATTATAAATTTTTAAATTTCTTTAATCGCTTGGGTTTAGTATTATAATGTTTATAGAATTTGGACAGCTGTAAAAGTTTTTATTACAAATAATGAAGGGGCAAAAATAATCTGGAGAAAACTGTGTACTTTCGTGGTTCATTTGTATTTTTCGTTTTTCTTTGTCCGTACTACTCTTTTAATTTTAAAACCTTATCTTCCTAAATGCCTGGAATTTTGCAAGTGCTTTAGCCTGTTGCAGGCTTTTGGATTGTGGGTATGACACATAGCTCCACTTTCTGAACGCCTGATACAGGCGAAAGTGCTTGTAATCGGGTAAATGCGACAGTAGCCACAAAGCCTTCTGAAACCTTATTTCATTGGCCTTAGAAAACGCGGCCGCTATTTGGAATAGGAGAATCGTTGGTGTTATTTTGCCCAGTCCTTAGGCCACATTATTCCGCGCGGTCAAAGCGTTTCCGGTCGCGGTCATGTGGTCCAAGCAAAGATGTGAGCCCTACACAAAAATTCTCAAAAGTGAGACAACGTCGTCCCCAGGGTCTTCGTGCTTTCCAATATGGCGGCGCCATATTGAAAAGCGAGAAGACGAGGCTGTTCTTTCTCTGGCCCAATTTTGTGTTCTCGAGAGAGACTGCATGGATCGAGTAAGACCTTTGTTGAGCATTCGCGGCATGTTGCTAAGATATAGTTTAGAACCCAGCCTAATAGACGTGTGCTTGCTACAGCGGGCTTGGTTATGACCGTCGGTTTAGTAATAAACGGATGCTCGCACTAAAAAAAACCATTTTGGCGAGAGAGAGAGAGAGCAAGATTGACTTCTTCAGAACTTTGGACTGGGGTGATTCCGGCAGAGCCTCCTCCTTTTCTCCTCCACACTCGAAGAGGAATTCTGATCGTGCATGGAGTGTCCATTGACTATTAAGCATCAATACGACAGTGTTGGTAGTATAGTAGAGATGAAATTAACCTTTTCGAGGCAGGAATCTCCTGATAGAGGGTAGGAACACATTAATGCCGATGACGTCATACCGTTAGTCTTTATCTCATGATAATGTATCGGTCAAATCGAAGCTTCAACATGCCCCCCCCCCGGGCATACCCCGGGCATTTGACACCTTTGCCGTCCCGGGGAGGAGGGAATTTGATTATCAGAGTCTTCCAGGGGGTGGGGAATTTGATCCCCATGCTTAAGGGGTGGAGAATTTGAACTGCACCCTCGTTTACATGTAAAATCTTTGGCGTGGCGAGCTATCATGGGGGACGCGATGCTAGAGGATTTTCGTGGAAAAGATTGTACCTTTGTGGCCAATTGGTTACGAGGAAAGGGCTTAAACAAGCTTTGACGTATTTGAAGTATTTAAATTTTAAAATTTTTAATATTGGATTCAGGCTTTGAATGTATGAATGTATTTTATTGTTGTGTTTACAATGAAATACAATACCTATACCGGCGATTCAATACAACAACATAAAATAAAATAAAATAAAAAGCTCAGGTCAACTACTTTGACCTACTGCAAGTACGTTAATTAATAAGGAGGGCGATGATGCATGTCAGTGAAATGATCATGATGTAGTTATCTCAATAGGTGGGATCTTTTTTTATAGAACCCTTTGTATGTTGCATGACGAAGAAAAGCTGAGCACTCAGTGACCTTGTAGCAGCGATTTCCACCGCTTTGCACGAGACTTTTGTTCGTAGTAAATACGCTAACAGTGTTTCTCAGTTTTTGTTATATTTATAAAGATTTTGTTCGACAACTGAAGGCGTTTCCGCCGTCCTTCTGTCATTTTTGTGCCTGTGAAATGTCCCCGGGGTGGAGGCATTTGATCACCTGAATGGACCCTAGTGTGGGGCATTTGAACGGCATTTTGGCTCGGGTAGGGGGGAATTTGAACAATAATTTTCAAAAAAGTCAAATGCCCGGGGGGTTGCCCGGGGGGCATGTTGAAGCTTCGATTTGACCGATACATAAGTTCATGTGCTAATTTTAGCAGGCTTAAAAGGTTTTCTATTTATTTCTGGGTCAATTAAGGCTTTGCTTGTTTATTGGTTGACTTAAAAGAAAGAAAGGTATGCATTGGTTGATTTATGTCGTCGAAGAAATAAGCGCCAACTTGCCTGTGACTTGAAAGCACTGAGTAAATATGCAAATTCTATTTCCTGCCGTTTAATTTCTTTGTCCAACAAATTGTTCCAGTTTTGTTTCACTGATTCTTGGTGCGCAAATCAGGACAAAGGTAAGCTAGATCTAATTTTCTAATTTTTCACTCTTACCTCTCTAAAGATAAATTTCTAGGTCCTTTGGTTCATCCAGGACCCGACCTAGACCACTTCATTTTCTACCATTTTTCTTTATTTCACCCTTGCTTAAACAGTTTTCGGGCCATTTTTTTTTCAAGCAACAATCCGAAAAACTAGTTAAACCGGTCTATTTTAACACTTATCTCGGACTTGTTAATCGCGGGTTTATATCACTTTCAGGAACTCCCTTTTATCCCGCGATTGGCTAGCCTGCGTATTTGCCAGTTTAGAAACGAGAAGACTGGTTATGTCTACTGTAAAAAATCCCATCATAACATAAATACTCCTTCCCGAGAAAGAGAAAAATGTAAAATGTAAAATGTAAAATGTAAAATGTAAAATGTAAATCGAGTTAAGGTGGCTCGATGGGATGTTTGGGGGCAATACTTCTCATGTTTAAGTATTTAAGCTACGTCGCAATGAAAGGAAATTTGGGAAAATTACTATCCACAGGTGACGGTATTAGATAAAGATGAATTGAAATTTCTTACGATCAGGATCAATGGCATGAGAGTTGTCATAGCAAGGAAATGACGTCATTCCTTTTGTACTATCATTTTACTTGCAGTCGTATATATCGGCACAGGGATTATATTTTACTTCCAAAGTCTATCATGGAAGCCTTTTCCTCTAATAGCTTCCCAATGTTCGTGAGATTTGAGTGACGTTTTTAAGAGCGTTGGAGATATTTTATGATGAGGTGTTTATAGCTGGAAATTCAGTATAAAACTGAACAATCTTGAAGTTCGGCCATCATCATTAGAAAACGAAGCGCAGTTTGTATCAATCATGACAATACAGTCAAGCCAAAAATTCCAACTAATTTAATTACCTCTCACTAGCACTGGTAACGATCCAGTATCAAAAGCATTGGGGGATACATTTCGGTACCATTCCCCTTAATATCGTTTCTAAAGTTTTCTAAAGTGGCAAATAAATTTTGCCGATAACGTTGTGTTAATTGACCCAGTTTTAATTTTAGAACATAGTCCTTGTATTCAATCCCTGGGGGGTGGGGGGGGGGGCACTCTGGGTATTCAATATTCAATCCGCAGTCCACATTTGTACTGACCGGATTTATTACATGAAGTAGTAACCGCGTTGATAACAGCTTCTGTTTTCGCCTGTCTTCTCCTCTTCTGTCACTCGAGGTCGCTCTTGAGGATTTCTACCAAATATGTCATTTACTTTCGGCCAAACCTGATCTACTGCAAAGCTCTTCGTCAGTGAATTGGTCGAGATCAATTTCTTGCTGTCGGAACGTTTTTTTCACGTATTTGTGATATTTGTGGCAACGGTAGGTCTGCCATTTTGTTTGTTTTTACAAACTTTTCCCCCCAATAAGTGGCTTAATCGACCTCGCTAGGAGGTTTATTTCTAGATTAATGTTAATCGTGCTTTCAGGAACAAAATCTAATCGTGGGATAAAATTTATTCCGTGATTAGGGAGATGTAATCCTCGATCAGCGCTAATCGCCTTTCCAGGAACCCGGGCCTGAGCTAAAGCAATCTCGTACCCAGAGTCTTCAGGCTTTTTGGTCAGCGGGGCAACCCCCTGGGGACATCAATTTAATCGATTTTTTTGATTGGTTATGCCTTTCTTAACCGAAGTTGAATACCAAAATAAATTTCTGCATTTTCATTGGGCAATCCCGCACCTATTTGAAAGATTGTTTTCGCTTAGCTGGGAAAACAATAGGGATTGTCACATAACAATGCCCCTATCCCTGAAAACAATGGAAGTGTAGATTAAAGGGGACCAGTGAAATAAGAGGTTTAAAACGGTGCAGGTCTACTGTTTTCATTGGCTCTTGGGTATGAGCAGAAGCTTCATGAGATCCTGGCGGAAGCTAGTTTTGCAGCCAGGGATGTTTCACAGAAACACTTTCGAGAATTGATGTTTGTATGACTAAATCGCAAGTCTGGTTGTCAAAAGCCGACAAGTGAATGATGTTATATCTTTTCAAAGTAAAGTTGAACAAGTTTAGTGCTAAATAACTCATCTTAAAGCTTTTCACCTCTGTCGTTGAACTACGCAATTCAGTATCGATCAGTAAAAAACCAACACTGCAGACAAGGATAACAGCTAGAGCTTGCTCGCAAGCTAGGATAACAGGAGAAGAGAAAGACAACAACAACTTCTAATTGTTTGAGGGCAGATATTTATTAGCAGAGGAAAGAGACCTGGCAGACCGAAAATCAATCCTAAACCGAGCTGCGAGTTGATGCCAGTGTAAAAAGGTGGTTTATAGATACTGTGAGGAAGACAATATTT